GGGGTACTGGTCGAGGCGCTCACAGCACGAGGAGGAAAGGGCGAGGGGCGTGGGGAGGAAGGCAGGCGGGGATGGTGCTTCCAAAGGTGCGGGGCCCGTTGTGCGGGAGCCTTTAAAGCTCTCGCCTGCCCTTGGGGGCCCCTTCCTGGCATCCACCTTTCGCGGGCCGTGCCAGGAGAAGGAGCGGGTGCGGGTGCAGGGGGGCGGGGGGCGGGGGGCGGGGGGGCGGGGGACTCGTGCGCGTTCCCAGCGATTCCCCGAAGGGAGGGGGTGCGTCCGGACGTTGCCGATTCCCAGCCTGGCCCTGCCCCCCCCCCCTTCCCCCTCGTGCGTCTCGCCTGCCTGGGCGTCCGGCCGTGGCTCAAGTTGAGAAAGGGGCGTGTGGGGCCACCGAGCCGGAGTCGCCGGTTGGCGGATCCGACGGGTGAATGCTCGCGTGTTTGCATGTTCGCACATGCGCCTCCTCTCTCTCTCTCTCTCTTGGCGGCGCACTGAGCGCCTTGGTGGGGGGGGTGCCCGGGCGGGGGATGTATCATCCATGAGCCATCCTGGCCCCGGGGCCGTGGGCTCGAGCGCCGAATGCGAGGATGGGCCCATTCTCTCCGGAGCAGGCCGGCTGGCGTGGGTTCCCCTGTGTACCCTGGAATCGCCGTACGGAGATCAGGCCACCCAGCGCAAAAACGGGGGGAAGGGGCGAGCCCGGAATCCGGGCTCCCGCGTTCGGGGGATAAGCAGAGGCAACCACAGGACACATGTGAATGCCCCCGGGGAAAGGGCACCGTGGGCGCACCGCCCCCGAGGGAGGGCGGGGGGGGCGGGCACACAGGCGTGTCTTCGGCCGGCCGGGAGGGCGCGCAGGGCCGGGAGTTCCCCTCGCCGCCCGGCACAAATGGAGGTTGCCCAGGTGACGTAGGTGCCCGTGGATTGCGGCCCACGCAGGGAGGGCCGCCGCCTCTCGAGTCACCCCGGGTGCGAGCTTGGCAGGGGGGAGGGCGAGGGGGCAAGCGCGTGCGCGCGTACACGCGCGTGCAATCGTGCGCGCGCGTGTGTGCCTGGGAGACCGTCGCCCGGCGAGTGCGGCCTGGCGGTGCCGCGGTGGGACCGGCGCGTGGCTGAGACCCGTGTAGGCCCGCCCTGGCCAAAATCAGGCGATATCCACGCTGCGCCCCCCCCCCCCCCCCCCCCCCCCCCCCCCCCCCCCCCCCCCCTTTTTTTTTTTTTTTTTTTTCCCCCCCCCCCCCCCCCTGGGCCTGCCCACCATTGCCATGGCACTTTGGCTGATGCTTCTCGATGCATGCCCCGGGTGTAGCTATGACTGGCTCTTCCTCCGGGCCCTTGTGACGGCCGGCTATGTTGGGTGGGTGTTGTATGCCGGGCTCTTTGCGCTGCGTGCGCTGCGCAGCCAGAACCTCTTCGGCCAGCAGGCGCTTCTCGGCGAGGAGAAGCCCCGCCGGGATGTGGCCTCGCCCGGGCCCGGCGGCAGCCGGCGGGCCGAACTGGCCGTCACCGGGGTCTTTGGCCTGCTGGCTGTCGGGCTGCTGGGGTTCCTGGCCTTGGAGCAGGCCCCGGGGCTGTACTTCCTGTATGCCGGCTTCCCCCTGTTCTTCGGCTGGCGCGTGGGGCTGCTGTGCTGCCGGGCGCTGGCCGCGGCCGCGGCCGCCAAGCACCCCGGCAGTGGGGGCCCCGGCATGAAGCCTCCCACGCGCGGGCCGATGCGCATTTTCCTGCTGGCACTCCTGCTGGTGGTTGGCATCGAGCTGTTGGTCTTTTCGTACTTCCGCCGGGAGCTGCTGACTGTCCTGGTGCTCGCCGGCGCCGGCTGGACCCTGGTCAGTCGCTGGCCGGCTGGCCCCGGGCGCGTTCCGCTTCCGAGGTCGCCCATGGCCCCGGCCGCCGGGGACCCCTCGCCGGCATCCTCGTCGATGGCCAAGGCCTCGGTACGTCGGTGGACCTACCTGTCCATCGGCTGGCTGCTCCTGTGTGGTTTGTGCTGCATGTTCCTCTTCTTGCCGGTGGTGCGCGAGGCGCAGCCGCATTACATGTGCGTGCTTTTCGCCTCTCCCCCTCCTCTTTTCCTCCTCTTTTACTTCTTTATTCTTCTGCTCTTCTTCTCCTCCTCTTTTACTTCTTTATTCTTCTGCTCTTCTTCTCCTCCTCTTTTACTTCTT